CCCCCACCCCCCCCCCACCCCCCCCCACCCCCCCCCCCCCCCCCCCGCCCCCCCCCCCCCCGCCCCCCGCCCCCCCCCCCCCCCCCGCCCCCCCCCCCCCCGGGGGGTGGACTGCGATGTCACAATTTAAATTGCCCAAGTGGTTCTGGTCCAAAAAGAAATGCAGAAGAGGTGTTCGTCTGTCTTTCGCCCCCATTTATGAGTTATGGGATAATAAATAAAAGATCTACGGCCTTCTCAGAGAGAGCGAGCATCTTTGCCATTCTCTCTCTCCCGGCTTACATACGCACTGGTTACCACTTTGTTGAGGCTCAATGGGTCCCGAATCTGCCTTTCACTGCCCCGTCTATTAGCTGCATTGCGGGTGACTCGAGGAGGGGGGTCGAATACTACCCCCCTCATGCAGGCTGCGATAATACATAATACGCAGGCATCAGCAGACCAGTTGGCGGGCTCTCATTGGGCGAGGCATGAGCCTCAGTGCATACGATCGGGGGGGCTTGTCGTGCGCATTCGCGCATTTCCGAGCCAGTAGCGTCCCCGGGTTTGAGGGGAGGGGGTAAGCAAGCCCGATGTCAGCGTCAGTCAGTTGTGGCCAGTCCAGTTCGCCACCGTCCTAGGGATTGGAGGGTGGGCATTTGCTCCCTCGCCCTCGTCTCCATCGATCTAGCATTTCCCTTCACCGAAAGAGAATCACATCCAACACCGTCTCACGTCTACTACCAGTTAGACGGCTGTTGGGGAAGAAAAAATTAAAATTAAAATAAAAGATCTGCGGATATGGTCGTTCTACGCAACAAGTCACATCATGAGCACCGAACCAAGAAAACCGAGCTGAGGTCGTCGGAGCGCCAGAGACATAACAGCACACGCTCGACGACGACGACAACGACGACGGAGAACCACGACCGCGGCCGCAACCGCGATCGCAGCCGCAAGTCCCCGCGCAGAACCCGAAGCGAGAAGACCAAGGACGTCGTCAAGCTCGAACGCGTCCCGACGCCGCTGGCGGAGAAGAGGAACGAGGAGGAGTTCGCGTGGTCCGTCGCCGTCGAGAGGAAACTCGAGCTCGCCATCCGCGCGAAGAGGACCGAGAAGACGGGACGGGATCGCGAGGTCGGTCTCCTCTCGCCCGACCCGAGTCGCTCATACTTGCGGACGAGGACGAGGAGTAAGGGGAAGGCAGAGAACGGGAAGTCGCCCGAAGGCGGCGGCGGCGCTAAGACCCGCGATGGGAACTGGGGAGAGAACGCCTCGCCGCCAGTGAAGAGGCGGTGTTTGGAGGATGATGTGCCGATGATCATTGAGTGCTGGCAGTAATTTACGTTATGGGAGGGGTGATTGTGGCTTTTGTCGCTGCTCTTGCCGGAATCTCTTGGGAGTTCAAAAGTATGCGGTCGTTGGGGTGGTAATTATGTCAATGTTTATAAATTTCTAGGGGGTTTGGGGGGCGGCATAACTTGATCTGGTATTGGATAGACTGGGTAATGGGGTGTTGATATATTCTTGGATATGCTCCATGTTCTGAATCACTGCTTGTTGAACTCGTGATGAGCGCCTACCTCATCGTGTTTCTGTGCAAGATGTCTGTGACTTCTAACAGTGTGCCCGAATGGGTGTTGACTACTTTCTGACTTCATTTAGGAGATTTAATGTGCGATTAATACTCAATACATATGGCGGGCATAACAAATAAATCGTCTTACTTAGATGGTGCGAAGTCATCTGTCTGTTGCACAGTAGTAGTCGATGCTGTGACTCAGAAATATACGCTGCCTCTGAAGAGTCAAGAGTATCACCATGATCAGCATGATTCATCACGCTGCCTCGCATCCCGCAGTTCTTTGCCTCCGCTCCCTCGTTATCTCAGATTTATGACGAGGGCTAAGCTGGCTGTCTTTCTGTCCTGGCCTCTCATTAGTTCTGGGTACTCAACCCTAAGACGATTCACACTTCTAATCCCATCTTGTCATGGCACGATCTCCCAATCATTTGACAATTTCTGATAGAGCATCACACATACTAGATATACGCCTAGTCTAGTGTCTTCAAAGAGGGGGCTCATTGACCACAGTATAACAGGCTTAGAGTAGTCCCAGAACAGCTCAAAACGTTAAAGTCAAAGAAACGACACTAACGGTAGATGTGCCTACCTACTTAATCGAAAGATAATACTTTAATACATGTCGCTCTCTGCGACATAGTCCCTTGGGTGGCGTGTCGAATTCATTAGCAAGATTAAAGATAGCGATCGTGACTCACTCACCTGGCCCGACAAGGCAGGTAATACTTCTGTCTAAATTGTAGATACTCATAGCGCCCCTGAAGAATGAAGAGCAATTGAGTAAGATAACACATCGCTTTAGTTGTCTCAAATGCTAGCTACCAAATAAGTTATTGCTTACTAAACTCTCTCAGGTGCACCTTTTCTCACAACTCGGTAGGGTGAAAATGAACGAGTCTATAACTTAGAACTTTTATTAAGGTCACTCATATGCCGGAAAATAACCCTCTTCGCTAGTTCTGCGGTCCCTTTCGTCGCACTGAATTCAGGCTGATGATCAACAATCTCCGGATTGCCGTCAACAACGTCGTCTACCACTTCCTCCGAAGCCTTCCTAGATATCAGCTCCTCAGTCGCGTCCCCAAATAACAGGACCATTGAAATATTCCGCTGTACCCGGCTATTTACCACAGGCGACCGAATCATATCTCACACTGCTACCCAGTAAGAGTTCTCATGCCTTGCATCATATCTCAGACGCGAATTCTCCCGGTTCTGCGTTTCTTCCAGATAGTAAGCATTGGCGAGGTATGCTTGGCTAGTAGTCAAACCGGTGCGAGCGTACGAGACGGCCAACGCGAACCGAGGGGGAATCAGTAGCTTTTCCTCTTCACATCTGAGGCCTGTTCCCGCAGGGCGCGGATCGTGTGGTTGAGCGTGCCCACGTCTCCAGAGGATGGAAGACCAAGTTTCTTGCGTGTGTCCCGGATTGTTCAGCGAGGGATGTCGGCGATCACCTCTCCAGTGTTCTGGCAAGGTTGGCTTTCACTTCGCGATTAGACACGGCGATCAGAAAATGAGGGTATACGACAGAGAGTGTCATACTGCAAGTGCTGTGAAGAAGTAAGTGAGAGACAATCAGAGCATCATCCCCCGGTACGCTGCATCGCCCTCAACTCTGGAAATCGCGCGAACGGAGCCGTTGGGATAGGAGACGGCAACAGTCCTGAAGTCTGGTGAGATCGAGCACGACTAGGTATCACAATGGGCGGGACGTACGCATATGAGGGGTAAGGTCAAAACCGATGCCGAAGTCATGAGATATTGAGAAACGGTGTGGTTTGCTGGGGAACGATAACAGTAATACAAATACCAGAATGCGAAGAGCGATACCCAGAGCAACGAGTAGCTTTTGAGAACTTCATGTTTTGGCAGCAGTCTGAGGATGATCTAGTGACAGTATGCTAAGTGTGCATCGTATTGAGCGACCGAATAGGTAGCGTTTTAAACCCCTGCTTTCTTGGCATACGAAATATGGCGACGCGCTCGATCCATACCCCGGGGCGACTTTGACCCCTGGTACCCGGATCCCTTAACGGAGTGCACGAAGCAGCTCGGAGACAGCGACAATTATACCAATGATGGCGGTGATGGCGGCTTGTACCAGCAAGAGCTGAACGCCGCGGGGGATCTGGCCATGCTGCCGTCAAGATCAACGAGGACGGACTCCCGACTGTCATCTCATTCATCCCAGGCTACGCGCACTCGAGCTTGTGAAGTAGATGCTGGGGACCAACGGGTGGACTTCCTCAACATCTCGTCCTTGTTCAATAAGGACCCCCCGGGGTCTGTATATGCGAACTTCTGGTTCCAGAACCCCCACACGCCCGATAACGATTGCCTGCTGATCTGTCGCTGATAGACGTTTAGCTGAACACCAGTTTTCCCAACAGCGCAGTGATCAGAGAAGGAGAGGGCCAAAAAAAGGTCTCTTTGACCTAGGTAAGGTAAAAGAAAAAAAATTGGTCAGTATGAGGGTCGAACTCATGACCTTCGCATTACTTAGTATAATGAAGTTATTATATTAGTACCTGGAGCGTATTAGCGAATGCTGTTGAGAGAGGATTTTCCTAAGGGCGACATACGACGCTCTAACCAACTGAGCTAACCGACCGATTGGTTGGAACGACCACGCCAATATGCGCCATTTCTATCAGGATCCGCCGTGGACACATTGACTTGCTTATCAGCTGCGACGAGTCATCTCTCCAGTTCTCTAGAGTCCGGCTAAAGCAAAGGAGGCCGTGCCTTGTCGAAGGCGTGTAAAACAAGCGGCTTGATCAGAAAAGTGCCGAACCTAATGTCCTCCGGAACGATGACACGATGTCTGAGTGTCAAATTGGCCGCCCCTCGTCGAATTGTGTAGATACCTGGTCACGCCTTTTCTGCGGCCAAGCCTGGCGCACGGGAATTTACGCGAGACTTACTTGAACTCACCCTGTCTCCCTGAGAGCCTGCTCTCAACTTGTCCCCCTCAGTCTCGTCATTGCGCCGAAAGAAGCAGTATGAAAGGGAGCCGTGTCTGGTGTTCTTGGTCCGCCGCAACTTCCCTGCTGCTCGCACTCAATTGCCTGTCAAGTGGAAGCCCAAAGACAGCCCACGGAGACACCAATTGGCAATCAGGGCATAAACCATAGCCACAATTGTTGGATAGGCAGATTTTGCTCTGGCTCATTGGTATGCAGTTATCCCTATAGGTCAGCGTCGCATTGAAGCCACCTATGCTACATATTAGACAGCACTGCCACCAGGTAAACCAGCAGGAACATATTCTCACAACATTTGATAGGACTTCTCCAACACAACATGGACAATTACGCACGTCTCTAACTTCTAGTGCGTCAGAGGTTTACCAACCTAAATATGGTTCATTCTCTGCAATCACGCTTCAAAGCTGATCATTTCACCAAATCGTCTTTGTCGCCAGTTTGTATCCAAATGAATACCTGTCCGACTCACTCACTCGATGCAAAAGCACATTACCACTAGCTATGTCACGGTATGCCAGGTGGTTGCCACAAAGCTGGCTAGCGGAAAGCAGTTCCCTCGCGTTAGTTCACAATACGCCACTAGACTATTATCCTGAACAAGATGACGATGGGAGTTGGTAGTCACCTCCACCCATCAGCATGCCTCTCTGGTATAAATGATCACCCCGACAGGGACGATAGCATCATTTCGATACACGACGACCTCTGGGTATTTGAGTGACCCCCCGTCGCCTTGAGTGAGGCCCGCCACCTATACAATGCTATTAGCTAAGTGGTGCTATCGAAATTTCTGATTTACATACCGAATCATAACCATATCCGGGCGAAGTTAGTGAATGATCTGCTGTTGTCATCAGTCGTGGGGAATTAGAAACAACCCGGCAGATCAGTATAGCGTGTTTATTGCTGCGTATATAGTGGTTTTTGGCATATATGTCGGCCTCTGCCAGTTTATGGTGTTAGAAGAACAAGTTTTGCTTGGCTGGAATCAGTTATACGCACTGGATGAACAAGGGCTTGTATAAATTCCGCGTCCGAACATGCCCCCATCGGCTATTTTTAGACTTAGGTCAGTTGGCCTAGTAGATTTCCTTATTGCTTGTATACTTACACGCTTGTCTCACGTCAAATGAGTACCGCAGAATGCAGCAGAGGGAACATTCCGGGTTGTAACAATAACTCAAAGAATCACCCGCTTCCCCGACATAACAAGCACGCTGGGTTCCATGAAACCATTCATCCCACTCCTCACCGTTTCGATCCCTAGGTAGGCAGTGTGTTAGCGACCAATAACACTGTTACACCGTAGTTCAAAACGGCACATACAGGTACTTGTTAAACTGCGTTCCGCGACAGGATCGGTCAAGTTCATCCTCATCAGCAAGATAAATTTGTTTAACAGTTGCAGATTTATTCGGGTGGGTCCAGCTGCTTTCGAACTGGGCCTTGTCTTGACTTGTTTAGTATCATCAACAACCACGATTGACAAAATCTACTTACATCGCCTATATTGCCGGGAATCATGCGAAATGCGGTGCATTCGCTAGAGGCGTTCTTAGGGTGCATCCATAGCAGATTCGGGGTATTGAACTTACGACAACCATCGTGATACTGTCGATCGTGGACCGTGGTACTGTTTGGGGTGAGCAGTTCACGTGCAGGGAAATTGGTCAAAGAGCAGAACTCGAGTGTTCGAAGCTCATGAGAACACCACACATAATATATTCCTCGCCAATACCATACAGACCTTGACTACTTATTTATAGAGCCTGATCCCCCCACAATATCATGGTTCGTGTAACAAGGGCTTGGAATCAGGTATTCAATTAAGCTATAATTCTCTTTGGTCTTCAAGGTCCGATGGGCTTTCCTCCTTCATACCGAAGGGTGCTCCCTTCGGCCTATTTATCTACAGCATCAGAATAGTAGTTCCCTTTCTGCATCCGGCTAATCCTTCCTTTCCTAAGGGCCTTGGATCAATATAGGGAGAGCGCATTCTGCAGTATCAGAATGTCTAGCAGGCCCTCGTATTCCCAGGGTCGCTGGCGGCTTCGGCCGTACCCTTCGGCCGTAGGTGGCTGTCTCGGCCACGAGGGTCCTTTTGCCGTGTCACAGTTCGGTTCTTCAAATTGCATGGCTAATCCTCCAACCCTGCCACGAGAGTGCTGGCAGGTCAGCCGTGCCGCATTTGAATAATCCGCCAACTTCCCTATTTGTTACATTGCATGGCCGCCAGCTTGCATTATCTTTTAGACTGCAATGTGGAGTTCCTTCTTTCCGGTCTCTTTTCAGGGCCATTGCTGCAATTATTGCGTGACAATGGCTGCCCAAGTGAAGATGTTTGGTCTAGACTCATGAACTGCAGGTTTATTCATGCCTCTTCCGTCTTAGGAAAGCGCACTTTTCTTGGCGTCATACAAGAGGCGGGAGGACGGCAGTAACTGCTGATAGGTATCGTCGTTGAAAATGTTGGAAGTATAGCCACGTGGTGGACAGCTGACGATTGGGTATGACCAGATACCTAACGCAGCCTCTCGGATAGATTTGAGGAAATGATTATAATAGATGGGTAGCCAGAAGGATCCTTGCATATCATACATACAACTTCCCCTCAGCTTCTGCAATACCAACTCCCAGAAGATCAAAACATCCCCGCGAGAGAAACAGACTGTCTCCCTCCAGCACCACTCGAGACATGAGAGGACATTCACCGCGTCACAGACAACACCATTCCATGTCGAACTCTCCCCTACGTAACCAGCTTAAAGCAGTTGCTAAGGAAACTTGCTCTATTGTGCCAAAACTACTAAGAGAGCTCCAGACCGAAAAAGATGCCGAAAAGTTAGAAAAATATTCCACTACAAGTCTTTACTACACAACTCCGCTTCTATTACTTCTACACTCACGGCCAGTTACAATTGAAGTAACAAACGAAGACACCCTTAATGCAGCCACGCGGCTCATAGAATTAAGTAAACGCTATCACTCGCACACCCAAAGTCGCCCTGCTGTGCTCAACTTCGCCAACAGCCGGAAACCCGGCGGTAGATAGTTAAATAGAGCTCTAGCCCAAGAAGAAGTCATCTGCTATCGCAGCTCACTAGCATACAGCCTCAACCCCCAGCAATATCCATTGCGCAAAAATAAAGGTCTTTATAGTCCATACGTGCTTATTATGCAAGATAATTTAGAATCAGGCCATTTACAAATAAATAAGAAGCCTAATCAACTCCCCGTTGTCAGTATAATAACGATTGCGGCTCTATATCATCCTAACGTTATCACGTTCGAGATCGGTGCAAATCTCAAAAGTGTCTTCCGCCACAACCAGGATCGGGACATAACTAAAAGAAAAATGAAACTAGCCCTACAGATAGCAGCTAGGCACAACCATTCCAAACTTGTACTTGGAGCGCTCGGTTGTAGTATTTTTAGGAATCCACCAGAAGATATTGCTCATTATTAGCTGTCAGTTCTACGAAAGAACGAGTTCGCTAGGAACCGGTGGAGCCACATCTGCTTTACGGTTTACAATCCAAAGCAACAAGGCAACTATAAAATATTCCGGCAAATTCTCGATGGACAGAAAGCCTAAATAAGGTTATAAATAGGGGTAATACTGGTTATTACAGCGTAATTAAGCTGCAACTTAGTTGTTTCATCCGGGGGTAATTCGGTTTTAACAGCACTGCATTTGAATTTTGGACTCCGATATAACAACCCAGCTTGCTTGCCATCTATATAACGGCATAGATTCAATATCACATCGGGTTACACCCTTCTAGTTAAATTACACTCCCTCTCACACCTCTGCCCACAGGGTGAAGAACTTTGTACGCTGGCTTAACCATCGACGGTATTCGTATAAAAGCTATTCATTAAATACATAAACCTATGAAATGTCGTATCGGAACGACGGGACAAGTTTCCGTATGCTTGGCAAGGGATGGTCTATTGCGGAATAGCTTAAATCTATGAAGTAAAAAAGAGAGTTCCTAGGAACTCTCCCACACCTAAATACATAAGGCAGTTGTTCCAGTACGGCCATATCGCTACAGCCGCAATATATCTGTAGCCGAAGATTTCTCCTAGATATATTGCACTATTCTACCACTCTAGGCCCTGATAACTCAACCTAAATGCCAAGAATTTATAGCTTAGCGTACCTATAAGCGCTTAACTAAATTTTAGATTAAGTTTTATTAAAAACCTAAAGCTTATAAGTCCTTAAATATAATAAATAAAATATTTAAAATAAAATAAATAAGATAAATATGTTATTATTATATTAATTTAAGTATTTATTAAGAAAATTAATATATAATTATATATTTTTAATAAAAAAAAAAAAGTAAAATAAAGCTAAATATAAATACAGTATACTAATCTAAATATTAATTAAAAAAGAAATTTATATAAAAAATATAAAAATTAACTAAATAATTATTAAATATAATTATTTTTTATATAACTTTTTTAAATAATTTTTTTTTGCTTTTATTTTATAAAAGTATTTAAGTTTACGTTTTTTAACATGCTTTTTTTTATTAAAAAAAAGTTAAATAATTTTTTTATAGTTTTTATTATTTATAATATTATAAAATATAAGCTAAATAGTATTAAT